TATGTAAGTATGTATGTTTGTTTGTAACTCCCAAGCTCGGGATCTGTATTTAACAGAATAATCGACATTATTGCTTGATCTATTCGCGGGCAGATGGCGCTGTAGGTAGCCTCCATCATATAATTCGAACTCACCTTACATGTATTTCTTCATTTGAAAAAAGTATTTTTATTATTAACACGCGCGCCTGCTGCCTTATTTGTAAGCCTCCTTTGCGCGCCTGCTACTTTGGGCTTGGTAGCTGATTTTCAGGCTCCTTCTCCGGAATCGTAAAATATCAATGGTCATTTTTCCAAACAATATACGGCTGATTGATCTCAAAGTATAGATGAAATAAATATAATTTAAAAATACTAAAAAACTACACTTTTATAGCATACGAAACTAAAAAATGAAAAATAAATATATCTTAAAAAACTAAAAAACACGCTTTTTACGAACATAGAACTAAAAAGTTAAGAATATTTTTTTTTAAATAAGCTTAAAACAATAACGAACGAAAAATACTAGTATTATTGTGAAAAAAGCGTGGGCGCTTTGTGCCATATTTTTTGTATATCAAGCGCCCGCCCTTCTTTCACAATAATACTAGTATTTTTTGTTCGTTAATATTTAAAGCTTATTTAAAAAAATATTTTCAACTTTTCGTTCGATGTTTTTTAAAAGGGTGTTTTTTTAGTTTTCTAAACTATTTATTAATAATATTCAATACATTCTCTAGTAAAGTTTATTCATTTTACCCCACGATGACGATTGGAATCTGTTTAAAAAAATTCGGTTTTTCCGTTAATCAGCTGTCGCCCCCATACGAACGACAACTCTCAGAAATTGAGAAATTTGTGCGAGTTAAGGACTAACGAGGGTTTCCTTTTAACGTGTGATTCCTAACACGGTTGCAGAATCATCCCAGCTTCAACCAGATCAATTCTCTTTAGAAAAATATCTGGTCGAGGCGAGAATCGAACCCACGGCCTTCCGTTCGTGAGCCGGGCGCACTACCACCGTGGCCAATTCCACAATTCAGATTGCAGATACAACTTAATCCCTTTCGATGGAAATTTCAAAATGGTGGAATTTTTTGAACTCCTTCAAAAAACTTTCATAATACCTGTGTTATATAATATTTCACATGATAGTTTTTTTAATGAAAACGCATAAAAAATGGCTAATCTGAAAAATGTATATATGCAACAATTTAATTTATGGCCACCTGATATTTTTTACGCAAATGGAAAAACGAGCTAAAAGTAACCAAAAATGTATGTCTCGAGATATTTCTATCAAAGTTTCATGTATCTGATGGAAAACTAGAAGTTTTCAAACGAGAGAACAGGTGTTGAAATACACTTCTCTAATAAATTAACGCACCACATTGAAATTACAAAATATATTGTTGGCGTTAATAAAAACTCCTACTTCAATGTTATATTTGATAAACCCCTAGTATATGCCATTTGTGATTGCGATATGTTTCTCAGTGCTTTAGTTTTTATTCGCAAAAATATAAAAAGAAGCACGAAATGAACCAATCGAGTTCGCAAATCTGAACGAGTTTAAGATGTGTACTTATTCGATTACTGTTTACTTGTGAAGGATTCCTAATTGTGTTTATTATCAAACGTCAGTCATTAATTCAACCCATGATGAATGTGCCCAAGCGGTAATACTTTTGGAAGAAGGCTAGAGTTAACGATGGATTGGTCGTCGATTCAATGTGTCTCACAAACCACATTATTTGGTGGAAGCTCCGTTGTAGTGTAGGATGGTATTTCTTTGACCGCACGACGGGCCTCGTGGTCATACACAATGGATCCGTTCTTGGAGCAACACGCGGTGCCATTTGCCCTTTATATCGGCGAACATTTCTTGCAAGACAACGCCAGACCCCATTTTGCACAGATAGTCAGAAATTCCATTGAAGATGTTAAAATTGGCACCATGGCATGGCCAGAACGTAGCCCGGATTGAAATCCAATTGAAAATATCTGGGTTATCGTTTGTGAGCGATTGAGAGAGCACCCAAGCAACCTGCAGGAACTAGGGGAAGACTGGACCAGATTGAAATAAGGCTCATAATTTTAAGTATGGGCCAACGATGTGATGCTGTTATACGTGGTAGAGGTGGAAAGCCTCGTTATTGACACTTTTCTGTATATTTTCGCCAACTTTTTTCTAACAATTTTTTGTTTCTAATCCATTTTTTTTGTCTATGTTACGTCAACCTTTGATAATACAGTACTACAATTACTGACATTATGTAGGTTAACTCTGAAGATGTTTCATTTTTTATGTCTCCTCTGACTACAACTAATATTGATTCATTGAAGTGGTGCGTCAATTTCTTGGAGAAGTGTATTTTGCTTCCTTTTTCCTTTTGGTACAGTAGATGCCCACAAGTTTGAACAAGTGTTGCATTTTAACTTATACGCTCGACGTTCATACAGATGCTAAGTCTAATCAACAAGTTCAAAAACATGAAAAATAGAGATGAAGGTCCTAAAAATATGAGCGATAGCTCATTCGATTCGGAATCACCTCTAGAAAAATGTTTGTGAAGGATTTTGGTCCAGGTAAAAAATTGCAATTGTTATTAACAAAGTAAGATTAAAAAAAATGGTATTTAGTTTTTCGTTAATAACTCAAAAAATATCAATATTTAAGCAATTTTGAAAAAAAGCTCGTTAAAGAGGAGAAAATTTACGATAAAAAAGTCCCGACTCCCGAAACTCTATCTCCATTATTTATAATTTTAATTTGACATTGAAAATAAGGTTCCACGCGGCTGTTACGGCATAAGCGCGCTGCCGCTAAAGAGAGTTTATCTAAAGAAATAATTTTTTCATAACATAAAATATCATTTTAAAAATTTGAAAAAATCTAGTATCTTCTTAGCACCTGAATGAATCGAGCCCCGTAGAAAAAAAAGTTCAATCACCATTTTTCAAAAAGTTATTCAATTGTTAACTAACAAATTTTCTCCCAATCTCCGTTGGCATAAATAATAGGATAAAAGGTATAAATTTCTTGAGGTTCATTGGCGGTAGATTCGGATACATTTCATTGAACTTTCTACATGTTCTGCTGATAATTTTGTCACACTGTCCAAAAATAATAAACAAATTCATAAGAACTTCGTTTGAATAGTTTTGTTCCATCGTTTTGAAGGTATTTGCAACTTCTGAAGTGACGAAAATGTCGATATTATTAGGAGAATGT